GAGATTTTCTCCCGTTGTTTTTATCCTGCAGGACTCAACAAATTAAGCCCCCAAGAACTGCCAATCAACAGTTGATATTGGCTCAAATCCCAAAGGACCAGAGCTGCTGCAGTGCCGATTCCTGCACAGCCTGCTCCCTTGTGAATGCAGCTGCCTTCTTGGTGGGGGCTGCTCTCCAAAGCCCTGTCCTCCTCTAAGCCCATCCTCCCAGGCGGCTAAAAGTAGACACAAGAGCCTTGCAGGGCAGCTGAGCTGGTTTTGGAGAAAATAAAGCCCCTGACATCACAAATAATTGCATGTCTCTTACCTTAGAGGCTGGGTAAGAGAGACTTTGAGAGGGAAGACCCATGGCTGGAGGAAGGACGGGCTTGAGGTAGGGGGCACAAAAGGGCAAGAGAAATCAACCAAGAGGAAATGGGGGTCTTGAAGGAACGGCATAGACCACACAGGCAAGGTGGTGGGGAAAAGGGGGGAGCTGATGGGGAGGTGATGAATGGACATTAAGTTGCAAGAACAAGGAACAATATTAAGATCTCTGTGGAAGAACAATAAAAATTGAAGAGCTGCACATGAGCAGAGATTGGGAGGAACATCACTACTGATATGGTCCCATATGGGGACCAAAGTTAGGAGACTGCTAGTGGATAAAAGCGCTATGCAAGGTCTTCACCTCCATCAGGAAGTGCTTAACTATCCATATGTTAAAAAGAAAAGAGTTGGGAAAAACCCAACAACTCAGAGCTTTCTGATGCAGGGGAGCTGGCAGGGACCAACCACCCCTGGGGAGCTCCCCAGGGCAGGCACACAGCTCTGCCTTTTCAGATTACAACAGACTTGCTGCACAAGGCAGCATGCCCACAGACTGCTGAACTGAGTCTATCCGAAGTGCTCACTCACACGGACTAGCCCAATAAAGAAACACAGAACTATTTTGCCCATTAGGAAAACTAAAACCTGTCCCTAAGCTCACAGTGGGGCCTGTGAGCATGTGCATAATTTACTCAGATAAGATACTGATACTGTTGATGAACAAAAAAGCAGTCATTAATGCAGAGGGAGAAAAAACTACTTAAAATATGTTTTAATTGAGTTATGTAGTAGGCCTCTCTATCCTAATGTTTTTGGCTTCTACTATGACTTAAATGAACATAACTCTAGACAAGAGTCACTGTATGCATTTAAATAATAAAAGGATTTCTGGAATTACTTAGAAAATGAATTAAGAGTATTTGTCACTCAGGAGTGAACAACTATTTATGAGTCAGGTGACTCAAATACATTTTAATCCAAATCAGTCAGGGCATTAACAATGGTTTTATTTGGATTTTTTTAAAAAACCAGTCCTTTAGACTAACAAGTGAATGTTCAATCTTCTAGAGACAATGAGAAAATAGATAAACCAATGAGGGACTATCTAAATTTGATGGTCTTTGTCTTAAAAAACAGACTGAAGAAATACAATGAAAGCATATACTTACTGAACACTGCAATTTAAATGGTTTTGTATCAGTAGTGAAAGCAGCACATGTGATAAGGTCTGGGTCGTCGCCTCCGTTCCACTGTGCCAGGATACTGTCATAATAAACAGACACGCCAGCCTTTGACAGTGCCTCCTGAACAGCACTTTCGATTTCGTTGTTGTTAAGGCAAGTAACATTTGAGCTGAGTGGAGGCTGTACCAGATGTATGCGAGAACCATTAATTCCAAGAGATAAGAGCATTTCTACCGTGGTGTAAATGTCAATTGTATTCCCATAGACAATGACGTTCCCTAAGGGAAAAAAAAGGAGAAAAATTTCTAAGACATACAATGAAAACCTTATTAGTATAACTCAGACGATAATAACATGGAATTGCTCTCTTTGACCCTCTTATTTCTCTGATGCTATGAAGCAAACAATGTTACCTAGCAACAGTAGCTAAGATAATTTAGTGAAGAATCTGTACAAAACATCCCACAAAGTAGGCAAGTACTTAACATAGAAGTATGACATTCATTCTGACCCCATAATTCGAAATTATTTTGATTGAAAATCCTCTAGGTGAAAAAAAACGCACCCGTTTTTATTTTGTTCTCCCCTCTCTCCTCAATTTTGCTCATTCAAAGGACTTATGGGGGGTGGGGGAATGGTGGGGACAGAAGCAAATTAAATACATCATGCAGAAAAAAATCCCACAAACTATGGAAAGACCAAGTTGTAGAAAACAAGCCATTGTGCAATATGGGAGGTCACCAGTGCTGCTGCTTCCTTCCGCAAGAGCCTAATCTCCAGACAATGCAGCTGCCCCTGTAGACGTACCCCCATGCCTGCTGGCTCCTATCTGCTGCCTTGTTTCCCCGAGCTGCCCCGCCGAGGGGCACCGGAGCCGGCGTGCTGATGGAGCGCCTGGCAGCCCCGTGCTGCTCTTTGAAGACAGCTGCCTCCCTTCAGCGCACGTCGGGAAACACACAAAACCTACATGCCTCAGGTCCGTGCTCCGAAACAGCCACCCTCCATCCCTGCGCGCTGCTGGCGAATCAGCCAGCTTGAGACAGACATTTCTGACCAGTTGTATGAAAACAGTGGTTGGATGTTGCTGCTCCTTCTGCAGTGCATTGTCACTAAGGCAGAAACCACTATTTAAACCAGCTCCATCTTGCCACCCACCTGGTGAAGGGAGCTCCGATTCAGACCCACATCTCCCACCTTCCAGGGGAGTGCCCTTAACTACAAAGCTGCAAGCTATATGGCACGATTTTGCAAATTCTCTTATCGAACTGGTGCCACTTCCAACTGCACAGGTAAAGCTGAGAGTGAATATGTGGGGACGGGAGCGAAACAGGTTCTGTGTGAGCAACTGTGCCTCTCCAGCCTAATGGCTAAAGCCCTCTTGGCAGAGAGGGAGACAGAGCTGGGATGTGTCAGAGCATTCGTGTGTTTTATTTAAGGATGGTTTAATACTGAACACATAAACATCCCTCTGAGCAGCGACTGAAACGTGCCCCTCTCCTCCCTGTTCCCCCACTCAGAATAGGAACCTTTTTTCTGCTTCATGATCCACTGAGCCTTCAAGTAATCCATGCAAAATGGCACAGCTCTGGTAGGACAGACCAGGAACTCCTTTCCTGGTGGCTAAGGACCCTTTGCTATGATGGCTGCAGCCAAGCTCCTGCCCGAGCAAAGGAGGATTGAGCCCAGGCTTGCAGACTCCTTCATGGACACAGCAGCGAGCATGCACACGACCACCAGCTCTGCCTCTGGGCTGCGTTCAACCACCCCAGCAGCAAGCTCAAGCTGAAAGGCCAAGGCAGGTGGAGGAACACCCAGCCTGTGGATTTTGACATACCTTCAGTAAGATATCAGCTCCTGCATGTTAAGTCTGATGGGTGTTTCAGTGCACCAAGAATCTGATCTGTCAGCACAAGGATCCATCAAATGCACGTTCCCAGTACACTTAATGTCCCATACCCGGGCAGCACTGCTGGTCAGCAGGGACATTTATTGCTTTCTGGGAAATCCCTGGCAGAAACAGGAAATAACTGAGCCATACCTACACAAGCTACCATGTAAACATCCTTGAAATAGAGGACATCAAACCCTCCAGCATAGAGCTGGGAAAGGGGAAATTGCAGAAAAATAACACCTCCCAGGTGTCACTTTTTTGGGTAACATGTAAACCAGAAGAAGGCCAGTGCACAAATCCCAGGCTTGTCCCGTCCCAGAGTGAAGCTGGGGGATAACAGAGGATATAGGGCCTTGTATGAGAAGACTGAGGACATGGCAGAAGTTTCTTTACAAGCGCTATGAAAATAACTTCTAGTGTGGCACTGAAGGAAAGTGTAGGGTTGAATGTACTAAAGAAAAATCAGTGTTGAAACATTCAAAGTGTTTCAGGCATGGCCTTTGACATAAACAGCATCTGGCACTGGCTCCCCACAGACAACATAGCAGTAACTGCAATCAGAATTTGGACAAACAGATGATTTTCCTACACAACACTGCAGTAAACAGTGATGAGCAGGTAAGGGCGTGCCTCACGCAACTAACTCACACGTTTATCTCGGCACTGGCATTTACATCTCACTACAAGTGACAGCAACGCCCACAACCTAAATTTTATTATTTCATAGGCTAAACTAATTTCACTGGGACCATGTTTGACTGCATGAGACAGAGCAATACTAAACAGAGCATTCACAAAGCCCTAGGTCTCAAGAATATTAATGATAAAAAACTGTTAACAGATGTTCTATTATTCCCCTTTGACTACAAGGTTATTTTATTTGTCCGTATCAGTTTGGCTACTTGTAACTGCCACATAAACATGTGTCTTCGTAACTGCCAGAGAAAAGAATTGCCCCATGTTATACATGCTCAGAAATGATGGAAAGCATATTTTTACTGTTCATATCAATGACCAGAAGGACAGGACAATTTTACCTGCAAATGTACTTGAAAATCATAAGAAGAAAGAGGTCTTACTACTTTCATAAATACAATACAGAATACGTATCATGTGTGATAATGAGAATTCTGTCCAATGTGTACATGGCTAAGCTGACTTTCAAAGCTAAAACCACCTCTCCCTTGCTTGTGCCTGCCAGGACACCTATCTGTAGGCAGTGCTGTCCCCATAAGAGATCTGAAAAAGAAGGAAGACAGACTGATCCGTTTTTTCACTGCTGCAGCAGGCTGCAACGCAAGAAGTAAACGAGCAGCACTAGTGGTGAAATATAAACTTTGATATATTCATTTTAGTAATCTAATGTGCTAATAGTACAGGTGAGAATGTGGTACATGGATGCTGACAGCCTCGCATTACATTTACACATTTGCAATTAGCAGGGGCGAAAAACATAGGCAGCTGAAGAGGATGCAGTGGCTGAGAAAGGGGAATGAGAAGTGCTTACCAAAGGCACAGACTAGCAAAGTTTTACTCTGACTCTAAGGCAAGCAAGTCTGGGCAACCGAGAGGTCCTCACCATTTGGCAGAACCAGCTTCTTTGGAGGGAAGTTCAGTTATTGCATTGTATGTTTGCATTTTTGTATAGATGAGATCAGATTCAAGCCCTGCATTTCTCAAGGAAAATTAAAATTCTGGTTTATATGGTAATATTAAATACAACTACATTAGATCAAGGAAAGCAATGCTCCTTTACTGACCTCTTGTAAATCAACAATTTACGGTTTCTGCTTATTACAATATTAGTGGCTTTTTAGATTACAGTGCTAGTAGTCTAGGAACTACAGATATTCATTATGGACTGAAATTATGTCCACTGGACAGATAGCAGTTCCTCAGAATGCTTTTATTATTTAACTACATGAAAATGTATCTATCTGTGAGTAAACATAATAGTCTTCCACAGAAAAAAGCAGCCATAAATAAAGACTGTTAGAGTAGTTTTATCATTTATTGCTAGAATGTCAGCGTTCTGCAGCAGAGTAGGCTCATTCATTTCCCACAAGTGGAAGCACAAGACTTCAGTGACCTTAGCATGACCTGAATCTTCCCAGTTTGCAAAAGCTAAAGGAGAAAACCAGTATTAGTTAAAGCATCGGTGGCTCCGGTTGGTGATTCATGCGCTGGAATTTTAATGCGATAGTATTCCTACAAACACACTTTTAATAAGGCAGTAAACTATGTTTAGGTAAAGAGAAAAAATAATTGCTCCATTTTGGGCCATTAAAGCAGTTTTGTTCCTTACTTCACTGCCATCCTACTTTTTATTTTTGTGGAAAGCGCAGAGCTAATAGGAGATGAATTTCAATTAGTCACAATTACAGTTATAATAGGTTCCATGCATTAGGCAGCTGGGTTTCATCATCGCCGCCAGCCACTGGGGCTGGTGCTCGCCCTGCTCCCCAGCAGCAGGAGGCCCTTCCAGAGCCACCAGCTCGACCAGCCGGGGCCAAGGCCTCTGGCCCCAGCTTAGGGGACCCCGCTACAACCGGTCGAGGAGCCACAGTGGCAGATGCAACTCACTGCTTCTCCCATGGGCTCCTCAAGCAACACCTGCTGCTGAGTGCTGGCCAGCTTCTCCCGCCACCCACCCGCTGCTGAGTGCCAGCCAGCTTCTCCCGTCACCTCTCCTCTCTTGAGGCAAGGAGGAGCCCAGGGAGGAAGGCTGCAGCGACCGCTCTGCTGTCCATCCTTGGTGGCACAGTCATCACCAGGAGCACCACTGCTTCCACCACAGCAGGCACATAACGCCTCCTGCCAGCACACGCTACCGGCCTGGTCCTGCTCTACTTACCGTCCACAAAAAAAGCATCCACTGATCTCATCCAGAGTGAAGTGGTACCCAGTGCTCACAGAGGGAAGAAAAGCAATTAAAACCCCTGCATTAACTCTTAATTAAAAGCTGCTCTCAAAATCAGTGCTACCAAATGAAGATTTCATCCAATTAGGCTAATAAGACTCACATTGTGAAGCTCAGTGATTAACGCTTTCCTTTAAAAAAACCTCCAGAACTACAGGTGGTCTTGAAGGTGCATTTGCTCTCCCTCGTCCAGGGCTTTTCTCCCCGTAGCTGGCTAGCTCCGTGCACTAGACGTGCTGGGCTCCAGTGGGAGCTGCTCCCTGCCCAAATCCTCAGGCCAGCTACATGGGATGCCCATGGGGCTCATCCAGCAGCTGAGCCAGGAAAATGGGGCTCAGCACAGCAGGCTCCAGACCACTTTTGATAAACACAGTAAATGGCTGAACAAGAGGAGCACAAATAAAAGAAAGTTATGTGGAGAAAAGACAGAGTGTAAGCTGAGAAGAATTATTGTTGTATCTGAAGTGGGATGATGAAATTTTTTGTGTAGCTACAATAGCCAGCATATATAGTTTCACTAGCCACTTCATTTTCCTTAAACATAAGCAAATCCTATTTTCTAATGTTTTGAATTCCAACATGTTTAAAGTAGGTTAGTAGGAATTTGACAAACAATGCTTTACAGTTTTGATGAGATGAAATATATGAGGTGTAATATTACTATTTATTGAAGGCAAAACTCGGAACTGGAGAATTTCAGGGATGAAAGGTAAACACAAATGTAAAACTTTGGTCATCCCAGCAGAGTGGTAGCATGACCTGCAGAGAGCTGACAGACATCCAAATCAACTGCTGAACTCTGCACCTCCGCGAGCCCAGTGCCTGTTAGACTGTCTCCAGAATAGGCTAGGGGCTGAAAAGGGGACTCATTTTCAGAAAGAGTAAGGATCTTGGTCGCAGATATGATCAAGTCTGAGAACAACGTTAGTAAGCAATATAGCTGGAAAAAGAAGCAGGGTGAGGAAGAACAGAAACAGAGATAGGTGGAGAAAGACTTCTGCAGCTGGGCGTTCTATGTAGCTTACACCTGCAGTGGCAGAGAATGTGAAGTGTGAAGAGCAACGAAAAGGAACTGGAGCCAGAGGCAGGGTAGGGAGAAAGAGGGAGGCATCACGTCTCCCAAAAGTCCCTCCAGACCGGCCTCATCATGAGTTGCGGATTTAGCTTATAACTGAAGACAGGATAGTGCCTAATTAAGATATCCAGCTTTACGCTGAAACAAAAGTCGGTAGCAATAATGAAATCATGATTAATATTATATTCATTTAGTATTAACAATACTACAGGTGGATTCGTCCCAAAGCAGATGAGGTGCTGCCAGACTGCCGTTCTCCTGAAGAGCAATCCTCCAGGCGCCTTGCATCCCGGCCAGCAGCCAGCTCTCGGGCAGCATTTCTGCGCAGGTGTACCAGAGCACATTCCAGGACTGGGCACGCACAGATTTCCATGAAAGTTTTCCCTGTTCAGTACTGCTAGTCTAACAGCCTCATCTGTTTATGCAAACACAGCTGTGCAGATCAGCTGGAGACATCAGGTAACACTGTGCGGGCAGGGGCTGGTATCAGCTGGAAAACAGGCGGAGTGGGACTGCTGAAGAGGCTCTATTTACACGCCTGAGGCCAGGAAGCATTTGAGGAAAATGTAAGCGGAAACATTATCATGTTCGTCTCCTGTCCTGATCGCAGCAAGACTTGGAGGATGAGGAAGAAACTGCCAGTGTCTTTAGAACTTCCCTAAAAGCCTGCCAAGTAGGACATGAACCTTGTAGACCACACCACATAAATACCAACTTTCATTATGTTCTCCACGAATGAGCCAGGTAAACTACATCTTTAGGAAACTCCTATTGTGGCACTCAGTTGACAAGGACTTTCCACAAAGACAGCTTTCCTGCTCTGACCTCTGTCCTAACTCAGATCCGGCGCACAGAACAGACATTACATGAACTCACTTACTGTTCAGTCTCTTTCTGTAGCTGAAAGTTTAACTGGAAGCCCAGACAATCCCAGATATTTTAAATAGCATACACACTCAGTGAATGAACTAATGAATACATGAACAATGCACACATGAGCAGGCTGAGGAAATACAGGTATGACAGACATCTGCACAAATGTGCGATTTTAAGGGTTAAAAAGAAAATACCAGAAGCCTGCAGTTCTATGTGAAAATCTGTAACTGAAGTAACCGAATACAAAGGTGACAGATACTGAAAAAAAACACTTCCTAATTTAGACCTGTTTTCTTTGCGTTACGCCTCAAATCTAGACATTTTTCTATACCACAGAAAAACACATTCACTAATTAAATTATTATTTAATTTGCTAATTAATGACTCCAGCCAGATTTGCATTTGGGACTCATTTTGTTTTATATAATAATTATAGATAATTAATCTCTCTCAAGCCTTTCTTTCCTAGCTAAATATGCTGGGTATCAAAAATGACAACAAATTGTAAATTAATCTGGAAAACAAAGCACAGCAGATGAAAGACTTTGTTAGAATTAATCAGGCAGCAATTATACCATGGAATTAAGGAAACAATAAGCCTAGAAAACATCTCTGTAAATGTGCGCGTGTTAACGACAACCCTTACCTTTCGAGTTGACAACATTTTCTTTCAGCCAGTGCACTGCCTTTAAGCAGTCCTGATCGTCATTGAGAGTAAAGTGATTGGAAGGGACTTTCCCCGTGTATCTTTCTGGCCAGCTACTTCGGACTTCTTTGTTAGTTGGGAGTTTACTGATATCTGCTCCAGTGGGAGACAGGACCTGGAAGAAATGAACAATGAGTGAACGAATACATGGCATATATCTTGGAGAACCATTAAGAAAGATTGTAAAAAACAGTGACACAAGCCATCTGACTACCTACGGGTTGTACAACCTACCCCTTCTAGACACTCAGCAGTAGCAAACACATCAGTGGCCACAGAGGAAAAAGGACACATGCTAGTCCGAGTACACACATCCCCCGGTACACATGCGTAACGCTTACGTATTCTGTATTTTCTACGGGATACAGGTGACCATTTTAAACAGAAGTGCCAGAAAAAATGGACAGGCAAACTGCAAATGAAAGTGACTTCATAGCAAACAGCAGAAATGCATAAATACACAGCCGAAGGATCTTTGCAGTTATTTGAACAACATACACCTTTAAATGACACTTGAAAATTCTTTGTGCAGCAACTGCCTCCATCTTCTGTCAACAAAAATCAACTTCCTAAAATAAGAATGATTTTCTCCCAGAGGGGGACTAAAACTGGCTTGATGGCTAAAACACCAGGATTCAGTAAAGTGTTAACTGTGTAATACTACTTTACAGTGACAAATTCAATCTGAATTATACAGAGCAAAAACTGGAATCTCATCTATGACTTCTACAGCACCAGTGATTAACAATGTTCTCACTGCCAATTGGTTCAACTGAGATACTATTCGGTCATAGAAAGACAGGCATGATGTCAAAAGATCTTACTTATCCAACAAGTAAATCCTCTCAATCATAATGAATAATGTTTTGCTAGCCATTAATTTGACTGCTTACCAAATAAGGGACAACTTATAAAAAGGACGGACTACAGCTCTATGTAATAAAACAGAAACCAGATGACAAAAATAATTCCTTCCTATTTTTTTGTAGAGCTTCTTAAAGGTGAGAATAGACGATGTTAGGTTTCTTCTTGAAGGCAGATAAAACCCGACTTTTCCCTTGCTTTCTTTATCTTTCTTTCTCCTACAGTGTAGTTACTTCCCATAACACGTTCTGCAAGTCAGTTACCTCCAAACTTCTTTTCCTAGGAGCACTTAAAGTCCTTCAGACCATACTTTTAACTTGTTTCATCCCTGTTGAACAGTGAATACGGATTGTTGTTTAAAGTGTGGCTCTACTCCTAAAAGTGATTACAGAAAAACTGGGGCTTTCTTTCTCCACAAATCTGTAGCACATGTGCAGTCCAGATTTCACTATGGGGCTGAACACACCTCACATTTGTGTTCATGCCTGATGGTGAACAGCACTGTAAAAACCTGTAGACATATGCTCGGTTTGATCTCCTGATTTTAAAAGCAAAATACCTTGCTTGTGATTTCTATCCAAAACCAATCAGTAAGGCAAAATCACCAGAGGCAATGGGGCTATACAAAAGATGGCCATTTGGTTTACATAGCTTGAAGGCCACACAATGACACAAAGAAAGAATGAACCCTGCCCGGGATGTCTGAGTTGAAGCTGAGCCTGTAGAGCTGGAGACAAGCTTGATTCCACATTTCACATGTAACTAAGGGTCCGCTTCAGTCTCGCTGGAGCCTTAACTGTGTGCTGCAGTAACACACAGCACCACGTACATGTCTAGGCATGGTCATCATGTGAGATGAGTAATTAATTTGATAAGGAATTCTCTCCATTGCCAAAACTAGGTCAAATGGTGTTCGACCAGCTGGAGTTAAGTCTCCTGTGGCTGGGGCCACATGTCAATCATGCCTGCTCTTCAGCAGGTTTAATGGTCACGGTGGCAAAAATACTAGCAGCTTTGCTTATATTTGATACTGAGCAGTGACACTGCTGGTAGAAAACTTTGTAAAACCTCTCATCTCCTCCAAATTCTACAGCCATGCAGAAGTAGTACAACCTGCTACACCGAAGGGCTGCAAACTTTCTAGTCATACACTTGCTAAGGACTACTCTGCTGCTTTGCTAATCGCAGAAACACTATTCACTGTAAAACTGAATATATTATGTTTTCCGCTCTGCACACAATCTTACCTGGTATTTCTGCCCCGTACAGAGAACAAGGTAGTCATATGGTACTTTCTTCTCCTTGGAAACAACTACGTATTTGGCAGCGCGATTTATGCCAGTCATTTTACCAACCACAACGTTAACCCAGGAACAAAGTGACATCTGTGCATAATCTTCATCATTAAAACAGTGGCTGTGAAGAAAGAATATCTGTAAGTGACATTTCGGCAGCTGACAGCAGGCATTAATTAGACATCTGGTGAGTTAGCCCAAGTCCCCCAGTGGTTCAAGCCTGTTCTCTCACTGTGAGTTTACGGCAGTCTATAGTAAAAGATTAGCCATTATGAAATACTCAGTTACAAATTGACAACTTTCTGCTAAAACCAAACAATCCCTCCCAGCACTAGGCCATACAACCACATAATTTAAAAACGAAGGCAGAAATATATGCTTTAGTCTGCTTTTTCTTTGCAGGCTGATCCGAGGAGGAGACTTTTGCACCTGCAAAGAAAATACTTTAACAGTCTAATTCTTTCTCCTATGCAAGACTCTCTTATTAAGTTTTTTCCCCACTTTTGCTTCATTTGGCTTTCAACTTCACCAGTAGTGGCTACAGTGAGACACAAATGCAATGAAGGCATCGTTGACATGCAACATCCATGTATCAGTCTGAAAAGTTTAAAAATAAACAGAAAGCTAGTGAAATGGCTGTCAGAGGTAGAAGTAAAAGGTAGGGATCTCAAATTTTCTCTTGGTGACCCCTTTCCAAATGAACTTTTCCAAAATGCAATAACGAAAAATTCTGAAAACATACTAAACTGACCTCCCACCTCCAAACTTTCAAAAGTCTCTAAGATGCAAATGAATTCCTCTGCAAGATGAACTGAATATTAACAGAAATAAAGGAGAATTTATCCCATAGGCTATGCAGAAGACAACAAAATTAGCAGGTAAATGAGAGAAAGAGAGACACAAACAGGGTAGATGTGAAAAATACTCATCTTGCCTAATTTGTAACTGAATAACAATTTATTCTTAATGAAAATGGGGAAGCAACTTCTACAATTTCAAAGCAATTACCTCCAGTGCTAGGTAGACACATCATTATACAATGCATGGAGGACCAGAGAGAGAATCTTTTCAACGAGGTCTGTTATGACTCTCGAACACCACTGAGTCTTGCAATAGCCCACTACGAAAATACACAGTACGTTGCTGGCCATTCTGCAAATCCAGTGGACTCAACTCATTATCTCCCTGATATTGAAAACTTAAACCAGGCAAAATTCTGTTAAATTAGGTTCTTTTAGTAGAACTGAAGATTAATGCTAATCCCAAACCCATTTATACCTTCGTAGAGGGATGAACCCATATGATCTAGTGAAAAAGAATGCAACAGGTTTTAAACATGCAAAAAAGATGAATGGCTGGTGTTACACTGATGCCTGATTTATGGGATCAGAGTGACATGGCAAGAAGACAGAACTTGCACATCTTGTATGACAGGAAGCCAAGTCTCACCCCTACCAGCACTTCAGGCCTATGAGACAAGATGGGAATGGCCAATAAAGAAATCCTGGGCTTCACCCAGTCTGTGATCTGAAGTCACCGCAGAAAAAATATTCCATCTATCCAATAAAGCTCATGGCCATTCAGAGGCTCAAGAACTTTACTTTCTATTGATACTGAGCGATGAAAAACATTCCACTTTCTTCCACAGGACTAAATGTACCGTGATGAAATAGAAGGGGACTCAGCTCTTGTTCAAGTATTTTATGCCTTTATATTATACCAGTGACTGCAGAGAGAGACTCAGCACTAACAGCTAGTTTTTTGCCATTAGTACCAGAATACACATTCTAAAACACAGCTGATTGCTACACAATTATCGTTGTTATCGAGTTCCCAAAATCATCATGCAGGATGTCACAGAAACAAATAAAGTTGCTTTCATGACCTGAAGAATTTTAGGACTGAATGACCAGGCTTTCTGAGGTGCTCTGCATCCCCTGTACTTACAAATACCGGAGGCAAATAAGCAAGGGAAGAAAACCACCAACAATTCTAAACTGTAATCATGCAGAAATCTATAAATAAAATGGACATCAAGGACAGATGAGGGTTTTCAAAAGCACCTTTATAATTGAGGTGCACAGCTCCCAGGAGACTGACACTCCAAAATCACAGGGATGCTTTCAAAAATCATACCCTGCAGAGTTCAATTTTCACTCTTAATCTGCTTTCAAATTTTAACAGCTAATTCTGGTGAGGCTGCTATGAACTGCAACTTTCCATCAGGAAGGATGTTTTGTTATTATAACTCTTTTTTACAGTGTACTTAGGAAAAAGAGTACACGCATTTATGCCAGCATATAGTCCCTCCATTTACTAGATCTGTACTTAAATACACCCCTTTCTACAATAAAAAAAATTAATTCAGGTAACTACTTATAAAAAAAAATTCCTTGACAGGGCAAAATTCCAAATGAGACAAGGTTCATATCACACCAGTTTCATGTCTTTGTAGAGATGTCATTTTTAAGGTTCAGCAAGCAGACACTGAGTTGTTTTGCCATTTAAAGAGCTGTCCTTTTAGTGCATTGCTGCTTACTGAGTAGAAGGTTTGATAAAAAGCAATGTGCAGCTCCCAAAGTCACATGCCAAATCTAAGGTAGTTATACTAAGTTCATCCCTCAGCTATTCAAAATAACTGATTGATTTTCATTCTGTGCTTCCAAATGTGCAGAAAAATCATGTTCCTGTCCACAGTGAGGATTCCTAGTTACTATTCCAAAACAAAACATAAAACCATCAAAATAAATATACTAAATTTAAGTGAGAATTACCTACTGTAAATTTTTAGTGAGGTAAGATTTTATCCTACTAAAGGGAAGATGTTTTACTTCTTGGCAAACAAGAAAACTTGTGTCTAGTGAGCAGTCAGACGTTTCACAAGCATAGCTCCTTCACAACCTTCCCTTCAGCTGTCTGCACCAGACCCGTGGCTCTGCCAGCTCGGGAGAGGTAAGTGCAAGGAACAGCACTCTGGCTGGGACCAGAGAATGACTGCCACAGTCCGGTGACTGGCACCCAAATAGCTGACAAACAGCAGAACTGATGCAGCATAGTTCTTCCAAATTTATCAGCAGCAATAATCCTTGGCTTTTCTTCTATACACTCAGCAAATTCCCACTATCAGTGGGGTCTGCATCTCGCCACGCAGCTGCTGTAAGCACATCACTGGTCACATTGCTAATATTAATTCTTATACGTTCTTTCGTTCAGCATTATTTGGAACAACACTCATGCCAGTTAAAAACTAAGTGATATTTAAAAAGCAAGCAAAAATCTTTTGTAATTTTTCTTTAACCTGGAGATCTAAATCTAAAAAGTCTTGGAAAGCAGAGACCAGTGTTCTGGTATAATGCAATGGATTGCTGTCCTTAAGTTACTGCTTTAGCAATATTTCCCTAGGAATCATTATATTCAACTCATTTTGCAGGTGAATGCACATACAGACGGACTGGATTATTTTGAGGCTATCTGCCTATGTATCTATCTAAAATTTAGGAGAAGTTCACAAAGAATTACGAAATGTTATGTTTTTCTTTGAAGCTATGGAAGTGTTTCGATATTAAATCAAACCTGTTAATTAAAAATCTTCTATGTTTGGAGCCCAGTAGGTCTTTTCCTGGAAGGCCATGAATTGAAATCAAGGTCAGATTGTTGAACTTCAGATGTGGACTGTGGAAACAAAAACAAAATACCAGAGTTCAACCTGTGCAAGTTTGCAGAGGCTCCATTTGGTACAAGCACAATGCGAGTGCACTTCCACATACGGTTACAGACAGCGTTCACAGCTTAGCTTCCCAGTCTGCCACAGTGTCTTTCCAGCTGTACAGAATCCAGCGCAATATTGTCTCAACCCTGACAGAGATATTTAGAGTCTATTAGGTGACTAACCAGCTCTGTTCCCAAGACCTTATGGCAGGACTTACAGTACCTTTTGTAGTCATAGAAGGTAAGACCATCGAGCCTTTGCTGTTCACAGCTCAGCTTCCGTAAACTGCAGGAAAGGGAGAAAGAATTCCTGACAACTGTTAATCTGTCTGCTTCCTGCAACAGGTCTACTGAAATTAGGAAGGCACACCAAAGTAACAGCATAGATTTTAATTCCCTAGTCAGGAGGATACAGAAAGTAATTAGTTTACACAGGCCAGTACAAAGTGCTAAGATGCACGTGTGTCTGGACACAAAAAGAAGAATACTTTCCACCGTAGTTTCATTAACGCCAAAGTGGGGGGGGAACAAGACTGACAGTACATTAAGCTAAATGTGATCTGACATTTAAAAACAAATAAATATTATGAGTGATTAAGCCTTCTAATCTTCAAGGCTTTCTGTAAGTTAAGTATGGATTGATGCAAATGGTACAAAGGAATCAGAATGTTTTTTATCAACCAATGTTAATTTGTTATTCATACGTTTAAAAAATATATTCAAACAAAGTTAAAGGTCATACTTAAACCAAGGAATTTCAAGGTTATGGCTGCCCCTCTCAAAATGCATATTAATAGTTTAATTCTGGATTATGGATTATCTATGGTAAATCTCCATGCATACTCAGGCCGAGTGCAATGTAATAAATAACCTTAATGTAACAGAGTGCATATATTTATACAGATTATGGGCCTGATTCTCATTTAAATTAAGGTCACTCTGCAGAGGTGGGTGTAAATAGAATTTGCTCTTCATTTATGGCCACATTATGCAGGCTGAGTGATACAAAGTGGTCTTCATGTAAATGAGAGTTAGCCTGATACACTAAGCTGAATTTAAAGCATACAGAATGCCATCTGCACTCATGGAGCACTCCTAGTGGGGTGCAAATGTGAACAATTACAATAACTTTACACACCTAAATAGTTCGACTGCTTGGCATTTAGTTTACATGTAATTACGAGGAAAATTACTACAATGGTATATAAACATCCTAGACATTCTCCTATCCTCATCCTAGACGTTCTCCTATCCTGCCTGCCCTCATAGCAAAGAAGTTTCTTTTCAGCTTCGTGCTGAAATCATCTCTGTACATGACACATGGCCTCTTGCTAACAGGTCTCCGAATCCAGGTGCTACAATAACATTAAGTTTGAATTATATTAACAATACTTCGGATGAAAATGGTGCAAGCAAGCATCAGAAAAATGGCAGAATGAAGGTCCTAGGCAACATTAATATGCCTCTCGTGCATGATTGCACTATGATGCACTTTATTGATTCAGTCACATACTATTTTCTTCTGCAGATGGACTTCTAGTCCATACGCAGTCATCCAGTATTTCCACAGTCATATGGTATTTGTTCAGTTCCCCCCCATTGAGTGTGAGGCTTCAATTCAGACCTTTCACTCAGTACGATTTACTAACTAATGATTTACTTCTACCTCAGCGCTCCCATGGCATTCCCATATGCCCCAAACATTAATTCATGTTTCCCACTCATTAATCTTGTAGGCATCAAAATGTTGATTAGCATCTCCTTAGAATGCCGTAATGAAATGAGTCATATCTCTGATTCCCATTTTACACTGAGAAAAATCAAGGCACAAAGAAAATTGGATTAAAGCTCTCAAAAAGGCACGCTGACGTTGGAGGCAGAACTGAAGAGACCCAGAGGCTGGTACCTGGCGCTGTCCCGTGCTCAGAGAGCAGGCACGCTGCCCTCCTGGGTCCAGGGAGCTGCAGAGCTCTGGGCACAACTGCGTGCAAATAACGGTCACATTTTTGAACACAGAGGTAAAAGTCTTCTTCAGCTAATAACCAAAACTTCTTAAAAGTTTAATCACAGGCTGGCATTTGTGAAAATTATCAGAATCTTTTAATAAGTAAAAAACCCTAGTATCTTGTATGACAAAAGCTTGATTTCAGGACTGTAGCTGGCATGCCTAACCTTAGGATTTTAGATATATATACAGGCACTTAAATACAAGCCTGAAAACTACAGGCAAACTGTGGGTGCCTAGCCATGGCCACTGTCAGGCACCGGCACACAGAGTTACAGGGAGATAACAGGTTGAGTTAGTGACTTTCGACTAGTGACCGTGATGCACATTAACACATTCGATATCACTCTCCCCTTTCCTCTACGTAGCACTATTATTTCCAGGCTCATAAAAGGATGGTTTATTTATTATGGCTTTTGACTCCTTATTGCTGCCTAAAAGCTCTTAACCGAAAAATCACAAAGGCTCTGAGAAACAGGTAGTACATGTTAGGAGAGTGAATGTCTTACATGCTTCTAATGTATATAACAATGCCTAACATGAAGTAAGGTAAAAGCAGAGGTTCCCATTTGGTGAAAAAGTCTACAAGTTAAGAGCCTGAACCAGCGGAACATTAAACAAGTGCACCTGCATTTTAGAAGCAAATAATTCCAGCAAGGATTCATGTTGCTGTGGATACAAAGGGAAGAACAGCTCAAAGATACTGGTAAAGCAGGGAGGGATTAGAGTATCTAGGGAAATAAGTAAAAGGTATTGGGTTTCATTGCACAGTTCTAGAGGACAGCTACCAAAAAAAAAAAGTCTAAACACACTTGTCCTCTAACTAAAATAGGATTGTAAATTTCCTGTGAGCATAATCAAAGGAACAGAAAAAACAAAAAGTTTTAGTACATTATTTATATATCTCCTGGCATTTGTGAATCTGTTAGAATATTCCTTGCTAGTTTTTCTGGATTTTTTTGCCTGATGTCTTGCTACCTTTTTTTTTTTCCTGTGTACATGGTGTAATGATGGAGGCTTAGATAGTGGAAACTGCCTGAACAAATGATTTAATTAATTGCTTTCATTAAACCCCTCATTATCACAAATAATAAGTCAAATCACTTTTGTGAAAATAAAATGCAGTGAAGTAGTCTACATCAACCTAAGCATTTCAATTTATTTGAAACGAAGCATCATGCTTTTTTTAAATTTTATTTTATTTTTCCAGTCATTTATAAAAACTAAAATAAAAGGGTGGCAGAAGATAATGCTTTATCTGGCTACCAAAACTGGTAACTATGTGCACTACTCTCCTGTATGCATAATCTTTAAACAATAACTTTAATATCTGGAATTACAACCTATCCAAAAGTAAAGTTCTACTTATACTGTAAGCTCAACTTTGCTGCAGCAGAGCACTTCTAAAAATGGTAGCTCTAGATTGTTCTAAAAATGGTTACAAACAGTCTGTTTTCAGCACTAGATAATGAAAATTTAAATTCTTGCATTAATGAAACTTGGAATTCAGATAAATATTTGTCCTGCAACAAAAAAAGGAACCTTAAGATTTTTGTGGGGAGGAAGAAGCCCAGAATGAGAGATGACTAAAAAAAAAAAAAAAAGTCCCAGCAGGCAATAACCTGGCGCTCAAAGCACAGAAACTCAAAGTGCCCAGGTATAAGCCTCACTGTAAAAGGCAGATACAGAGAGCAGTTCTCCTTTTCCCCCAAAATATAACAATTTATCTAAGTAGGACTGCTTTTTTTTTTTAATGGAAGATCAGCTCCTCAAACATTTCAAGAACAAAGCAATTGTGACATGACTTGGAGGACATACTTCTGCAGAAGGAGAAGATTTTCTAACAAATTTTCCAGTTGTACACAAAACTACAAATAGGAATGCTCAGCTTAAAGGTTGCCAATACTAATGACAGCACAGAAAACTCCACTCATTCGCATTTTCACTAAGGAATAAATATGTTACTTAGCACTATAGACTTCCTTTGCGTAATCTTTAGGAGTAGTGTGTTTTCATATTGCCACTATACTAAAGTGCTTTTGTTCGCTTGGACAAAGCCCATTGCTTTTGCTGGCAGAGCTGTAAAAGCCTTCACCCTTCTCTCCACTTCCTCTCGCTCTCTGGGCAGCTATATTTGACTCAGACAAGTAAAAGTCAACACAAAATCAAGTACAAAGATATGGGAAAATATAGCAGAACTGTTTCCCTGTCTGATGCTACATGATGCCATTCTGGTAGTATGAAGGCTCTGCAACTGATCCTACAACACTTGGTTATTAAGCTTTTAGTAAGAGAGTCAGTAACAGAAGCAGCAGAATGGGTTTATTGTTTGTATCAACAATTACCAAAAGCGTCTGTTCTCAAGAACCTTATGTAAGTGCATCAATTACAAACCTTGGAACAGGATTTCAGCTTAACTGCTGACCAACAGATGTCCATCTAGAAGTTATCCCTCTTTAATTACAAGTAAACAAAGATAAGCCAGTTCTCCATTGGATCAACCTTAGGAAAAAGTGTTAAGATTGTGAATGAATTTGCTCAATGAAAGAAGGGATAACAATAAAGTCTTTACTGGGACACTTTTCAATGCGAGGGTCAAGAAAGGGGTTTTCCACATATTCGTTTGTTCTACAAAACTGCACCCCTGATGACTCCTCCTCCCAAGACCAGAGATAAGATGTATCAAGAACACCACCAACTGAAATAAAAAGATGAGTGAATTTAATTGTCAGTAGCTTACATTTCATTAGACTGACACTTTTGACACCAGGGGACAGATAAGTCAGTTTCTTACTTCAGTGGGAGAATTCCCATCTTTTTCTTCCCAGAACAGGACTACTTCCATTCCAAGATCGGCCACAACATTGGTGAAATTCACCATCCTTTTTAATTTCAGAAAACACTTTTCTAAATTGTTCAGAACAGAGATTAAAAGGAAAATGTTTGGTTCTGATTTTGA